GTAGGTGCCCCCAGGTCACCGCTTCCAAAGCAGCTCAGCTGACTTGGCCTCCATGACTTTTTAATTTTGACACCATTAGTTGTAGGAGAGGTGATTTCTCTACCATTTTAAAGTCTGAGAAAAAAAGTGAGGCAACAGGAGGGGTACCCCTCAGACAGTAGAATGTAGGAGGAGTCCCCTCTGCTTCCTAGGACCCACTGGAATCACATAGTTCTGGAGGGCTCAGCTCTGCCACTTCCCAGGAGCCTCTCTTTTCATGGGGGACAGTGGAATCCCAGTTTAAATACTGGTCTGGGTCAGGTTGCTGCTTGCCATCAAGCGATTTCCATCAAACATCTTTGCAGTCATGATCGGAGCAACCCTCCCCTACCGTAGTTACAGAAAACAGGGTACCATCAGGCAAGAATAGACCTGAGAGAGTGTCTACTTAATCCTGTTATGGATGAGGTCTCCAAGGCCCAGAGAGGGCAAGTGACCATCTCCAGATCACATAGCAAGTAAGGCACAAATTGAGAACTTGAATCCAGTTTTATAACACAACTCCTAATCACAGGTTGAGAAAGAACAGCAGCGAAGGGCACTTTCTACCCCAGCTTTGGTGTTATTCCTGGGAGTATGGTCTGATCAGCCTCAAAGAGGATTGTGTGGAAGAAGAAACTGTTTCATTTCCTAAATCCATGAACAATCGAAGCAGCATTGGACAAGGGATCTAACAAAGAAATCCATGAGTTTGTGATGGCAGAAGAAGGTGGGTGATAAATTAGTCTCAGAGGAGAGCAGAGAAAGAAGAAGAAAATTCAGTGTGGGAGTGACACTGGGCTGGGGTGGTGGAGCCACTTCCAACCCCATTATGCGGGGACAGGCCTTGAGCCAATGGCTGCAGCTCCCAGGGCTGGTGGAGGAGGACAGAGCGGACTCACAGGTAGCAGTTGAGGGGAAGCAACTGTGGGTATTCGTGGCCTGCTTTAGACCAAGGCTCTAGGAAAATGTCAAGTGCTGCTAATAATAGTGTATGGCCACCAGCTCTCAGAGGCTGCCAATCACACCAGTGAGTGGGCTGCAAAGGGCATCTGGCTGGCTGAAGTGCTGGTCGTGAGGGCCGGCGCCAGGCCCAGCTTCCGTGGACTCATGCCGGCCTCTGGTTTTCTCTTGGCACCTTCATTTACCACGTGCAAAACAGGGATAGGGGAGCAATAGGAAGAGAACTTGCCCCCTTTCTACTTTACTGGGACACAGCTGAAAAGGGGTCAGCAGAGCCCTCTGGACTAGAGATGGACACAGGGTACATACCAGCTTCTTGTGTAGCATTAGGTTGTTGAGATTTGTTTGCCCAAATGACAGAACTTTCCGGCAAAACATCTCAGATCTCGGGACAAGGGACTGGCTGGGGGAAAGAATGTCTCAGTTATATCAAGGTCTCATTTTTGCTTTAGAAGTAGAAGCTGAGGTTCACACTTTCCCAAGGTAATGGGGAAAGTCATCCATTAGCCCGGCATGGTGTGCCAGACCTTGATTGAGACACTTAACCTCCCAGCCTCCAGGAGCCTGGAGCCTGTCCTCCCCGGGCTCTGAGCTTTGTGCAGATTAACTGCCCGCTGATTACAGAGAGCTATATAAATGCTAAGTGGAGTGGAGATGGGGGGATCCTGGGGGATGGGAGCCTGCGGTCCAGGCTCCCAGCTGTCTGCAGAGGCAGAGAGGCTCCGTCTGCCATTCCCACCCCTTTCCGCTACCCTGCCCCAGGCACGTTGCAGGTCATCCACAGGAAAGAGAGCCTCCAGGAACAATGGAAACTTCCCTAGAGACAGAGGGGGGTTTGGGGGGAGCACATGGGGTTAATGATTTCTCTAATATTTCATAGTTGTGATCCCAGGATTGGGGGAGAGAAAGAAATGCCCAGCATATGTGATCCTAATGTCTTTTTTATTTTCAGTTTCTTCAAAGAGAAAATTCATGCTTGCACACATGCACACACACACATACCAGAGCACATAAGCATTCTCATATGCATACATCCCATACATATTAAGGGTCTGGCACAGAAACACTCAATGCATGGCTGCTATTATTTTTCTGCACAAACATAAACATAGGCAACATGAATATAGTTTTGCATAGCATCCCCAACTGTATGCACATAGACTAAAACACAAAATCACATTTGAGTGCTTAGACTATATGACAGATCCTATGCTCAGAGCATGCTGTGCTTGATCTTGAATCCTTACCCCAATCCAAGGAGATGTGAACTGCTTTGAATTCCCACTTTACCAATGGGGAAACTAAGACTTGGATTATCTGCTCACTTCACACAGCTGGTCACTGGCAGAACCACTTTGTGGAACTGTGTGTGTCTGTGTGTCTATGTGCGTGTGCATTTATGGACACAGATAACATGGAGATGTGTGCTAACCTCTCCTCAAGTCAGCATG